ACTAGTTGTGATGGGCACTGGGTAATGTATGGAATTGTTGAATCACTATACTGTACACCTGAAACTAATATAACTGTATGTTAACTGAAATTAAAATAAAAACTTTAAGGGGCACTTGGGTGGGTGCTTCCATTGGTTAAGCATCCAATTCTTGATTTCAGCTCAGGTCATGATCTCAGTTATGAGATCATGCCCCATGTGGGGCTCCAGGCTGAGCACAGAGTCTGCTTAAGATTCTTTCTCTCCTTCTCTTTCTGCCCCCCTAAAATAAAAAATGTAAATTAAAAACCTTAAAAATATTAAAAAAACAGACAAAGATAAAGCATTTGATAAAATTTAATAATCATTCATGATAAAAAAGAAAATCCTCTTAGCAAACTAGGAATAGAGGTGAACTTCCTAACTTAATAAAGAGGATCTACCAACCAACCAAACAAAAGCAAGACTATTAACTATAGAGAACTGATGGTTACCAGAGAGGAGGTAGATGGAGGGATGAGTAAAATAGGTGAAGGACATTAAAAGTACAGTTACCATGATAAGCACTAACATATAGAATTGTTAAATCACTTATATTGTACACTGAAACTAATATAAAACTGTTAAGTATACTGGATTAAAATTTTTAAAAAATCTTTTAAAGAATATCTACCAAAAGCCTATAGCTAATAATCCTACTGAATGGTGAAAAATTCAAGACTTTCCTGCAAAGATCAGGAACAAGGCAAGCATGTCTCCTCTCACCACTACTTTTCAACACTGTACCAGAAGTCCTAGCTAATATAGTTAAGATATGAAAAGAAAATAAAAGGTACACAGGTTGGGAAGGAAGAAATAAAACTGTCTCTGTTCACGGATGACATCAACATGTAGAAAATCCAAAGACAAAAAAACAAACAAAAAACCCCTCCTGGAATCAATATGCAATTATACAAGATTAATATACAAAAGTCAGTCAGTTTCCTATATATCAGCTATGAGCAAGTGAAATTTTAAATAAAAACACATTACCAGCAGAGCACAGAGAATTTTTAAGGTAGTAAAAATATGCTTTCTGTAATGATGGATACACGTCATCATGCATTTAGCCAAACCCACAGATTATACAACACCATGAGTGAACCCTCAGGTAAACTATGGACTTTGGGTGATTATGATGTATCAATGTAAGGTTTCTTACTTGTAACCACTGTACCAGTCTCGTGTGGGATGTTTATAATAGGCAAAGCTATGTCTGTGTGGGAGCAGGAGATATACACATCTCTGCAGCTTCCTTTAAATTTTGCTATGAATCTAAAACTCCTCTAAAAGAATAAATTCTTTAAATACTTAAAAAACTATTTCCATTACCAACCCCTAAAAATAAAAAACTTAGGTAGAAGCCGAACAAAATATGTATTAGATCTATAAGAAGAAAACTATAAAAAATGAGTTATCAAAGAAAATTTAATGGAAAGATATCCCAAGTTCTTGGATAGGAAGACTCAACATTGTCAAGATGTCAGTTCTTTAGATCCAATACAATCTCAATCAAAGTCCCAGTTAGTTGTTTTGGGGATATTAATCAGCTGATTTTAAAGTATAAATGGGAAGGTGAAGGACCTAATAGAACGCATTGAGCATTGAAAACCAATGTCAAAGGACTTCAAGACTTACTATAAAGTTACAGTAATCCAGACAGTGTGCTACTGAAATAGACAACACATCAGTGGAGCAGAATAGACCCACATAAATATGGTTAACTGATCTTTGACAAACAAGCAAAGGTTAACACAATGGATAGAAGGTCTTTTCAACAAATGGTGCTGGAACTAAACATCCACATGCAAAAAAAAAAAAAAAAAAAAAGATGAATGTCGCAGACCTTATATCCTTCACAAAATTTAACTCAAGCTAGATCGTAAACGTAAATGTAAAACACAAAATATAAAACTCCTAGAAGATAACAAAGAAGAAAATCTTAAGATGACCTTGAATATGGAAATGGTTTTTCATGTATAACATTACAGGCACAATCCCTGAAAGAAATCAATGATAAGCTGGGCTTCATTCAAATTATTCTGTTCTGCAAAGAAACCATACAAAGAAAATGAAAAGCCACAGATGAAAAACTGTTTGTAAAAGACACATGTGATAGTTATCCAAGCTGTATAAAGAGCCCTTAAAACTTAGTAAGAAAATAAACCACCCAATTAAAAAATGGGCAAAAGAACTTAAAGGATATCACACCTGTTTTAAAATTAGGTTGACTTTTATTGCTGTTCTAAGAGTTATTTATATATTCTGGATATCTTTATCAGATAAAATGATCTCCAAATATTTTCATCCATTCTGTGGGTCTTTTTTTCGACTTTGATAGTGTCTTTTAATGCATAAGAACACTTTTACCGGACTTAATTTTGATGAAGTCCGATTTATTTTTTCTTTTGTTGCTTTTACGTTTGCTGTCCTATTAAGAAACCAATGCCTCATCCAAGGTCATGATTTACCCTTGTATTTTCTTCTAAGAGTTGTATAGTCTTAGCTCTAACACTTAAGGTTTTCATCCATCTTGAGCTAATTTTTGTAAATGATAGGGCCCAAATTAATTCTTTTGAATGTAGATATCCAATTGTCCCAGCACCATTTGTAGAAAGACCATTATTTCCCCCATTGAATGGTCTTGGCACAAGTGTCAAACCAAATGACCATAGACCGTTTATTTCTCAATTCTATTAGTTGATCTACAGATGTAAACACTTTTTTATAAATGTTTATTTTTGAAGGAGAGAGAGACAGAGTGTGAGTTGGGGAAGGGCAAAGAGAGAGAGGGAGACACAGATTCTGAAGCAGGCTCCAGGCTCTGAGCTGTCAGCAATAGAGCCCGACGTGGGGTGTGAACTCAGGAGCTGTGAAATCATGACCTGAGCTGAAGTTGGATGCTTAACCGACTGAGCCACCCAGGTGCCCCTAAGCACTTTTAATAATACAGCAATCCGTTATTAAACCCATGAAATGACATTTCTAGAAGACAGGGGAAACAACTTATTTACCTTGGTATTTACCCAGCACTTAGCAGACCCTGAGAACATGTTCACTGAACAAATTATTTACTTCTGAGGAAAGGAATGGGAATGGAGTCCACAAGAAAGATGGGCTCCTTTCCTCATGGAGTACTTTACTGTTTGATGTGGATTTGGAATTCTGGCATTCCTTCTCCGTTGTTGGCAATGGTAGTATTTTTTTTAAGTTTCAAGTGTACAATTTACTGACTCAACACTTACACACAACACCCGGTGCTCTTCACATGCTCACGGACACCTGTTGTTTCTTGTGTTAATGTTAGCCATTCTGACAGGTATGAGGTGGTATCTCATTGTGGTTTTGATTTGTATTTTCCTGACGATGAGTGATGTTGAGCATCTTTTCATGTGTCTGTTTCCATATGTTGGTCTTTGGAAAATATCTGTTCATGTCTTCTGTACATTTTTTAACTGGATTGTTTTTTTGGGTGTTGAGTTTTAAGTTCTTTATACATTTTGGAACCACAAGACCTCAAACAGCCAAAGTAACCTTGAAAAAGGAAAATGAAGCTAAGCTGGAGGGATCACAATTTCCGACTTCAAGCTAGAATACAAAGCTGTAGTGATCAAGACAGTATGGTACTGACACAAAACAGACACATAGATCAATGGAACAGAACAGAAAACCTAGAAATGAACCCACAACTATATGGCCAATTAATCTTTGACAAAGCAGGAAAGAATATCCAAAAGAAAGATGGTTTCTTCAACAAATGCTGCTGGGAAAACTAGACAGCAACATGCTGAAGAAACAAACTGGTCCACTTTCTTATACCATACACAAAAAGAGATTCAAAATGGATTAAAGACCTAAATGTAAGAGGGGAAACCATTAAAATCCCAGAAGAGAGAACAGGCAGCAGTACTTTCTCTGACAACAGTCGTGGCAACTTGGGAGGCAAGGGAAACAAAAGCAAAAATTGGGATTTCATCCATATAAAAAGCTTCTGGGCAGCAAAACTGGAAGGCAGCCTATAAAATGGGAGAAGTTATTGGAAATTATTCATTCTTTTTCTGAACATCTCGTACAGAAATCTGGGCACCTCAAAATGGGCAACTGAGGAAAAACTCAGTCATGAACTCAAACAGCAACAGTTAAAAGCTCTTAAGTATTGTAAGATAACACAAAGAAAATGCTACTGAAAATGGAGCAGAAATCACTTTCAACCAGGATAACTTTGAGTATCCCAATCACTCATAAAGTATTCTTGAAGGGTAGTAAATACCTCAAATTTGCTTCCAAAAGAATTTTGAAAAAAAGAGGAGACATGAGTTTGAATTTTACTAATAGGATTTGGGGGTTTCTGAAGAGAAAAACCGCTATTTTTCTAAACTAAATTTCTGGTACTTATTGTTTTGGTTTATCTGACATATATACTACAAAAGTACAGCACAACCTGTAATATTTTTAAAATATAAGTTGAATAATTAACACAAGATTAAATTCAAATGGCATAGAACTGGACTTAGGCACCTAAAGCCATTGATCTGAATTCTAATTTTAGGCTTTCCCTTCATTTCCGCAGCCAACCCAATTACTGTCATGTTGATTTTGAAGAAAGATAGGTTTTCAAAGCTTGGATATATGATTTTTAAAAATCTACTAGTAGAAAATGCAATATAAACTTACACCGTATGAGTTATTTCTTGTTAAAAGATCTGATATCAAAAATAGATAAAAAGGAAGTAGAAGAAAATGCCATATATGAGAAACAGTCTTTGGAGTCAGTTACAGTTCCTCTTGAATATAACCTGAATCTCTGAGGGGTGTGTGTGTGTGTGTGTGTGCATGTGTGTGTAAAATGGAGGTAATCTCCTTTCTCAAAATGGTTATGAGGATTTCACAAGATGACAGATATATATGTCCATAAACTAGGTACTTAAGTAAGGTCCACATTTCATAAAGAGAATAAACTAACACTATTTGAAAAACTTTTATAACAGATATTCAGTATCTTTATTGTAGAGGAAAAGATTATCAAAACATTCCCAAAAGTACAGCTCTAAAATGCCAGTTTTGTTTGTAAAGGACTCACACTTTGATGGCGTTCACACCACACAGTCAGGAAGTAGAACAAGCCCTCAGAAAAGAAAAGCAAAAGTGCCAAGATCTTCTCCAGCCACAATTAATTTTAATCTATGAAACAGAATCGCCTTACAAATTAAGTAGTTTCTACAGTAGTGACATTTATCCTTGATGTGATCTGTTTATTATGGCTGTAGTCAGAAGGGAAGTTGGGCCTGTTATTTTTCCAGAAATTGAAAAAAGTACCATCATTAAGATAAGGAAGAGAAAGATTTGTATCCATCTTTTTGGGACATGTAAGGTGAGAGTGCAGTCTCACAGGTGGAGAATTTGTGGATATTGCTGGAGGAATTGGAGATGCTCTCTAGCAAGCGTGTAATCCCTCTTCCCCGAACACTGCTCTTTTGGCCAGAAATTTTCACCCCAGATGGATAGTCACCTAAGGATATTGGACACAAGACAAGAAAAGTAGTTAATTTTATAGTTTTATTACATAGAGATCCCTCAATTAACTCTTATCCTACTACAGGCCTTTCATGAATAGGACAGAAATTCTTAGTAAAGAAAGACAGATTCTCAGAATAAAGGTAAAAGCCTGAACAAGAATATTTCTTTTTGCGTTTAGCCCCAGAAACCTTAATTGAAGTTCTTCAGACACCATTTGAAATTTCATGTCACTAGCTTTTAAATTTTCCACTCTGCCCAAAGACATCCTAAACTCTAAAACTATAGCTGCTACAGGAATAACAGGTTTATTTTAAATGCCTTGAACAAAAATCAGAAGACTAAATTAAATTATATTAAAGTGATACAAAAATGTACATATTGAAATTGTTTAAGGTGGTAACGTCAAATAAAATCCCAATTCAATAAAATCTTCATATCCTAAAACTAATTTGGAGCCATCTGTTTAATAAGTACCATACCCTGGGATCTGAATAAGCTTTAAGGCCCAGTACTTCCCGAGGTGCATTCTTAGAAAATAGAAGATGCTTACCAGTGGGTGTGTTTGACCTTTGTTCCGGATTAGAAGAGTTGAAATGAGAAAATCCTGAACTCTCAACTCTTAGCTTCTATAAGTAACAAAAATACAAGGGAAAAAGTTGTTTTCTTATCGATTATTGGATTATCTACTTCAATTTCAAATTACTGTTTATAAAATACAAACACCCAATTTTACAATGTCTGATGAACTTTTGAAGAGACTGCTGTAAAGGGAACAGAGGGTAATGTTTGGAAGGGAACTGCAGGGTCAAGAGAGGATTATTTTTAAAGACGAGATTATAGGGGCGCCTTGGTGGCTCAGTCCAGGACCACTGGAGAAAGGAAAGTCAAGAACTGACAGGTTGGGGAGCTGGATTACCTATGGGAAATACTGTTTGATAACATGGCTCAGTGCTGCTCTAGGAATGAGGACAACCCACTCAGGGGCCACTGACTCTAAGATGTGGCTCTCAGGCACTAGAGCCTCTATGACAGAAGACCCAAAGTCTCCGGATTTTAGGGAGAAGATAGGAACAAGCCTATAAGAGGCAACGTTAAATTTGGAAAACTACCTCAAACCTAAGCCCATGATAAATGAGGGGGAAAAAAAATCACCATTTAAAAATTTTTTTAATGTTTATTTTTGAGAGAGAGAGAGGGAGGGAGAGAATAAGATGGGGGAGGGGCAGAGAGAGAGGGAGACACAGAATCTGAAGCAGGCTCCAGGCTCTGAGCTGTCAGCACAGAGCCCGATACAGGATTTGAATTCATGAACCATGAGATCATGACCTGAGCCAAAGTCTAACACTTAACCTACTGAGCCCCCCAGGCGCCCCACAACAGCACGATTTGATAGCGTTAACAGGGAGGCAGTATCTTTAGAGGACAGCCATATTTTAGTTAGAAGAGAGAAGATAAACAGATCTTCCCAAGAAAAGATTAAAGATATTTGAGATTGCTGATAACTAAGGGTAAGAGATGCATGGAAAAGTTCTTCAGGACTTGGTTAGGAGTGGAAAACACAGTCCGCCAAATGGGAGGAGTCTGGGAGAGGAGAGAGAATTGAGGTATCCTGAGTTTCTGTAGTGACTGACAGAAACAATGGAGAGGAACATTCTGAGATTAACTCTGCTGGTCTCAGCACAGCGACAATGGGGCGAAGGAGGCAGGGATTCTCAACCTGGCATTACTGCCATTTCAGGCTAGGTAACACTTTGTTGCGGGAGGCTGTCCTGTGTCGTCACAAGATGTCTGGCCTCTACTCATTTGATGCCAGTAGCACCCTTTCCCCAGATGTGATAACCAAGTCTCCAAACATTCCCAAACGTCCCTTGAAGGGCACAAAATAGGTCCTGGCTGATAACTACTGGGTTGAGAGTTAACAGGAGAAGGAAAAGTCTTGCTCAAAGAATATATGGAGACCTCTGGGACAGCCTCTTTATTTTTATTCTTTGAAATGTTTATTTTGTGGGGCGCTTGGGTGGCTTAGTTGGTTAAGCCTCCAACTTTCGCTTAGGTCATGATCTCACGGTTCATGGGTTCGAGCCCCGCGTCGGGCTCTGTGCTGACTGCCAGCTCAGAGCCTGGAGCCTGTTTCAGTCTGTGACTCCCTCTCTCTCTGACCCTCCCCTGCTCACACTGTCTCTCTCTCTCTCCTAGAAATAAATACAACAATAAAAATAAAATAAAATGTTTATTTTGAGAGCGAGCAAAGAAGTGTGCGTGCGCGCGCGTGCACACACACACACACACACACGAAGGAGGTTGGGGCAGAGAGAAAGAGAGAGAGAATCCCAAGCAGGCTCTGCACAGTCAGTGGGGCTTTATCTTATGAACCTGTGAGATCATGACTTGAGCCAAAATCAAGAGAGTCAACGCTTAACCCACTGAGCCCTCAGGCACGCCTCTCTTTTTCATTTTTTAAACTGTCATACACGAAGATGGACTTTTCTGGGGTGCAGACGCCTATACAGGTTGTACCACATGAAGAGATCTGTGGAACCACTGCTGTAGTCTGGAGATAGCGCCATTCTACCACCTCAAAAACTTCCCTCATGCTGTCCCCTTACAGTTATCCCAACCCCCTGAGAACCCCTGATATGTTCTTTATCATTACTGTTTTGTCTTTTTAAGAATGTCATATAACATCTTGAGACTGCTTCTTTTGCTAAATATAATTAATACCCACGAGACCCTAATCATTGAGTGTAACAACAGTTCATTCTATTTTGAGGGTTCCCTTTTCACTGTTTTATGAACCATCTTTATTTTTTTTTAATGTTTTATTTTGAGAGAGAGAGACAGAGCATGAGAGGGGAGGGGCAGAGAGAGAGAAGAAGACAAAGAATCTGAAGCAGACTCCAGGCTCTGAGAGGTCAGCATAGAGCCTGACGCGGGGCTCAAACTCACAAGCTGTGAGATCACGACCTGAGTTGAAGTCAGACGCTTAACTGACTGAGCCACCCAGGCGCCCCTAGGAACCATCTTTAAATGACAACAACATTTATTGATTATGTACTATGTTCCTAGGCAGAGTTCTTTCATATACAGCTGCCTTTAATCCTATAACTACTAGCCCTTATTATTATTCTTGTTTTACAGATAAGGAATCAGCACTGAAAGTTCAAATAACTTGCATAAAGACACACAAAGATTGTATGTAGCAGGCCTGAAATGCAATTTAGGAATTCTAACTCCACAGTCTCTCTCTTAACTGCTATGCTATTAGTGGTATACAGAGGAGTACTAGTAAATAAATAGCAAGGAGGGAAGAAAGGTGGTAGGGAAATTAGACAGCTTTTAATCAAATCCTAAATCAGGTCTTATACATTTTTGAAGTAAATATTTTAAATATTTATATTATCTATATTTAGACAATTTTTGGAATGAATTTTGCATATGGTTTGTATAAAGATAGACTATTGCTAATTTTGATTTTCCTAAAACTTTGTTAAACATAGTAGGAAAATATAGAAAGAAAAAGATTTATGCAACTGGGTCCAACTGGATTAAGAAGTGTTTAACATTCCACAGAGGATTTTTAAAAAATGTTTTAGAAAAAAGAGAACCAGAGTCCAGATCTGCAGCTGTTCCTGGCCGGTACCCCGTGCAGTAGCACAGGGAGGCCACAGGTCCTGAAGTCAGCTCCTTACCTGGTAACGCCCTGCATCCAATACAACCATCTTGGGGGTCACACTATTGCTGGCCTCGTAATCTTGAAGTGGTACGTGAGTTTCTGTAAGCTGGATTCCAAAGAGAGTGGCCAGAGAATTACTGATGCAGTATCTTTAAAAGGAAATAATAAAATTCATTATCAGAATCTAATTCGTTCTAAAATGATTCAGATTTTTTAAATTTCTAATATAAAGATATAAGATATACCATTCTAACTTGGGGGTGGTTAGAGATTCAGAGAAATGGGATTGGGTAGCAACACATATCATAAACTGGTCACTGCTAGTAAGCAATACTCTTCTGATTACCAGATAAAATTTCAGGTTTATTATAAGGGAACATGGATGGGAGTAAAGATTACCAGAATTCTCAAATGTTTAAGGCAAGGAGAGGGCAACAGAAATTAGGCTGTAATTTTAAAAACACTTATCTACCCTCAGAACCAACTGCCACTAGGCATGTAAAGGGAGCACCAGAGCACCAGGGATCTGAGGCTCCAGGCGCCTTCACTATAGAATGAGAAGCCGGGCGTCCGCCTGGCTCACTTGGCTAAATGTCCGCCTTGATTTTGGCTCAGGTTCTGATCTCGCAGTTCGTTGAGTTCAAGCCCTGAGCTCTGCGTTGTGGAGCTTGTTTGAGATTCTTCTTCTCTCTGCCCCACCCCTGCTCATTCTTTCTCTCAAAAATAAATAAACACTTTTAAAAACGAGAAGAAAAGGGCTTTTAAGCATCTGAACAAGGAAGTGCTGTTGTTAATGACGGTAGGGAATTTTACTCTCCTATAATGAAAATTTTCAATAAATGCTTCTGAAGGTTCACTCAAATTGCTCAGGTGGTTAACTATACCAAACAAGTGTGGCATGCACAGAATAATAAAAGTAACGTGAAGTTTAAAACACACGCACACACGTGCGCACACGCACACACACAGACACCCGACCCTTTGTTTTAAAAGAGAATTATGGAAATAGACATGAACAGTGTTTAACCCCATTTGTGAAAGCAACAGCAAGTGAAACGGCTAAGAACTCAATGCAGGATACAGCATTATGAAGAAACTCCTTTCTCCAACTTACGCAATTTTCTTGCAAACAGCTAAAGCACAGAAGAGAATATCGTTTTCTTCATGCCACTTGCACCTGTACAAAAAAGAAAAAGGACTTTAATATCCTTAAGAGCAGTAGTGTCGTTTGAGGGGTTTTATATATATAGCCAGATTTCTAATTTACCTAGTTAACTTACCTAGTTAACGTACCTAGTTAAAATCATTTAAGAAAAACTGACTCAAAGTTTTAACATTTAACAAAAATTAGATTTTTTAAAAAATATTTTTTTAAATGTATCTCCTCTGACGCAAATTCATAAATTGCACATACCAGGTATGTTCTACTGTGAAGCGAAATGAGTGTGACAGACACGCCCCTGTGACTATGGTTACCAGGCACCTGTTTGACATCCACTCACTACATGCACACTATTCACCAGCACTAGATACAGCACTGAATGAAACACAAACTCTGATCCACACAAAACTTACTTTCATAGGAAGACTGATCAAAAAAGATGTAGGCATAATACACAATAAATTAGATCAAGACAAGTTCTAAGGAGGAAAACAAAGATGAAAAACATGACGTGAGATGTTGCGAAGAGGTGACATTTTAGGTGAGGCCGCCAGGAGAGGCACCACTGAGAGGGACCGCAGAGAAAATGATGAACAGCACACTTTTACGACAGCCACTATACACCGTAGGTTTCCACTTAGCACAGTCTACTGAGACTCGGAACAGGACTTACTATTTGAGTAATTAAAAGCTTGCCTGAACCTAGCAAGAATCACTTTAAAATTACTGAAACCATGCTAAACACTAAGTGTAAAAAGTCAATTATCTGAACTTAATTTAAGTTATTTAACTGAATGGAAGACTAAATATAAAATTAAGAATTTCTCACTGCTTTTATAAAGTGATTCAATAAATGGGATTCATAAAACTCTTAGGTCTAAAATGAAGGATTAGGTTGAAACTAAGCCTAAGTTCTTACATAGGCACACAGAATCAAGTAATTTTTAAATTTCCAGTTAGTTTTGCTCCTTTTCCAGAACCTAAACCCCCCAAGTTCAGTGCCTCCTATACACATTTCCACGTAGATCGTATGTGAAATAAAAGCAACTGAAAATCGAACAATGTATTCCAGGATTAAAAACAAAAAGCCCAAAAACAAACCTGCAGAAACCTGATCCCAGCGGAAAATGCCTCCAAATCTAACAGTTACAATGTTAAAAATGACGTTTTGATGTTTTTACTTATACTTTTTAAAATTTTAACTTGAATTCCAGTTAGTTAACACAGTGTAATATTAGTTTCAGGTGTACAATTCAGTGATTAAACATTTTCATAAATCACCGCTCTTCACAAATGTACTCCCTCCTCCCTCACCTCTTTGAGCCATCCCCCCACCCCTTCCCTTCTGGTATTAAGAATCTGTTTCTTGGTTTGTCTCTTTTTTCCATCATCATTTGTTTTGTTTCTTAAATTCCACATGAGTGAAATCATATGGTATTTGTCTTCCTCTGACTTATTTCTTCTGGATTCTCTTCCTCAAAATCATACCACCAATCCCCCTAAAAATGACTGTATTTTCTAGTAAAGAAGGATTTACTCTAAAAATCTGTCAAAAATTAGAACTGCTTTGTACACTTTGTTAAGCTATTAATATTCACTTTGCAGCCTCAAATCTAGCCCCAGCATGAACACCTCTTAGATGGGTTTCTTTTATGAAATTCCACTCCAAAGTCATAAGGTCACAAGTCAGTTGGTCTTTTGAGTGAATGTGCAACCTGCTCCTGAGTTCCAACATGATGTCATTCACGCCAACGATGTGTAGCACGAAGGCCTTGACAATCGTCTTTTCCTGTCTCAAAAAGTCCTCCCTCTTCCCTCCTCCTTCCTGAGGACAAGCCAGCCTTTACACCCGCTCAGAACCAGGCTGCTAGAGAGCCTCTAAATGCTCCTCAAAGTGACTCACGAGTTTCTCTTAAATAGTCTCTGTGCTTTCATTCCTTTGAGTCACTGTTCAGGTCCTTTTCTTGTCTTGGAAGGTCCTCCCTTCAACCCAAATCTCTGCTCACAGAAATTCTATTCATCTTTCCAAGAGAACCAAATAAAATATTTACCCCAGCACGTATTTCACATATTTTTAACCCTCATACCTGAAGTGATTTCTCCCTGATATATCATAATCTCTGGAAAATTGTAAGAAATTACCGTATACAACTTCACTGTCATTACCCTGCTTTATTGCTCTTGTCAGACAGGAGACACTAAAGGCGAGGACAATCATGTCACTCCTTCCTGTGTTTCCCACAGAACCTAGTCTTCGACCTTACAGATGAGAGCCACCTAAACATTTGTTAATGATAAAAACTCAGGGCACCTGGGTGGCCCAACTGGTTGAGCTTCCAACTTCGGCTCATGTTATGATCTCACAGTTCTGTTTGGGAATTGTTGGGCAAGCTGCTGGCAGCGGGGAGCCCGCCTGGGATCCTCTGTCTCCCTCTCTTCCTGCCCCTTCTCTGCCCACACTCTCTCTCAAAAATAAACATTAAAAAATAAAAATTCAATAAATTGGTCTAAGAAAAAAATGACTCTAAAGTGATGTCAAAATATAAAGCTGCAACTCTTAAGGGCACATGCACCCCAATGTTTAAGGCAGCACTATCGACAACAGGCGTAGTATGGGAAGAGCCCAAATGTCCATCGATGGATGAATGGATAAAGATGATGTGGGGTATGTGTGTATATAAAATGTATGTGTGCATACACACACACACACACACACACACACACACACGATGGAATATTACTTGGTGATCAAAAAGAATGAAATCTTGGGGCGCCTGGGTGGCTTAGTCGGTTAAGCGTCCGACTTTCGCTTAGGTCATGATCTCGCGGTTCGTGGGTTCGAGCCCCGCGTCCGGCTCTGTGCTGACTGCCGGCTCAGAGCCTGGAGCCTGTTTCAGTCTGTGACTCCCTCTCTCTCTGACCCTCCCCTGCTCATGCTGTCTCTCTCTCCCTCCTAGAAATAAATAAAACATTAAAAAAAATTAAAAAAAAAAAAAAAAAAGAATGAAATCTTGCCATTTGCAACAATGTGAATGGAACTAGAGGGTATTTTTTAAAAATTTTTTATAATGTTTATTTTTGAGAGAGTGTGAGCAAGGTTGGAATAGAGAGAGAGAGACACACACACAGAATTCAAAGCATGCTCCAGGCTCTGAATTGTCAGCACAGAGCCCAATGCGGGGCTTGAACCCACGAACAGTGAGATCATGACCTGAGCCAAAGTTGGACACTCAAATGACTAAGCCACCCAGGTGCCCCAGAACTAGAGAGTATTATATGCTAAGTGAAATAAAAGTCAGTCAGAGCAAGACAAATACCACATGACTTCACTCATATGTGGAGTTTAAGATACAAAACAAATGAACCTAAGGGAAGGGAAGCAAAAACAATATAAAAACAGAGAGGGAGACAAACCATAAGAGACTCTTAAATACAGAGAACAAACTGAGGGTTGCTGGAGGGGTGCTGGATGGGGGGATGGGCTAACTGGGCAAGGGGCAGTGAGGAGGACACTTGTTGAGATGAGCACTGGGTGTTATACGTGATCACTAAATTCTATTCCTGAAACCATTATTATACTATATGTTAACTGACTTGGATTTAAGTTTAACAAGTAAAATTATTACTTGAAAGAAAAAAAAAGCTGTACCCCTTAAAACTATTGCTGGGGCTTCTGGTTAAAAATGCATGAATTATCTTCTCTTCCTCCCCAAACCCTATGGAAATGACAGTCAAAAGAAGAACGATAGTAGCAGTCTGCAGTAGGAAGAGGCCTCCACGGGAGAGAAGTGACCAAGCCCGCAGGATACAGAAAGTAAATGAAGGAGTGCGCACTGATGAGGGAAGACACCGGAAGTCACAGCCCTCAGCCCTCTCAGACCCGGCTACTCGGGAGCTCTGGCCACCAGAACCCTAGACAGGCTCTGAAGCCACGGACAGGCCTCTGGCCAGAGAGCAGAGGTAAGACAGGAGGCTGAACTTCTTCTGTACAAAGAATGGTCATGTGCCCTGACTGTGCAAAGAAGTAAACCCTTCTTGGAGAACTAGGCAGCAAGAATGGGTGCTAGTACCTTAAGACAAAGCCCTCAATATTCTGGCATTTAGGATTTTGTCTCAGCTTAACATCCAGCTCCCTTGTCTGCTTCCCCTAAAGCCCAATTCGTTGATAATCTCCAATGAACAATACTGAACCCTTACTCAGTGCTGCAGCCTCATTTCTAAATATGACCGTAACCAAAGACGATCAGACATTCAAAGAAAGTCTGCGTCACAAAAAGGTCAAGACAGGAACATCACAAGTCACAACCCCAAAGAATGAAAACCCAGAGAACAAAAGCACACGAACATCCCTGCCCCACCAGCAAGTACCCCAATGAGAGCTATGGAATTACTGTATCTATGATCCTACATTTCTTCCTCATATCTTCAACCCAAATCAGCACTGACGACAGCTGGGACAGTGTGTGCAACAGGACAGTACTGCAGGCAGAGAGGTACTGAGACCTCAGGACAGTACTGCAGGCAGAGAGGTACTGAGACCTCAACAAGTCAGCCTCTGCCCAGTATTGAAATGCCACAGCTTGTTGGGGTGCTGTGCTCAGTGCCCTTTGTGTCGTCTGCCTAAGTGACTTTGTCAATATCCGATAGATCCAATAAAGAAGAGAACTAGTCTCCCTTCACTGCATTTTCAGTGCCCAGAACAGTGCCTGGCACATAGTGAAAGGATGAATGGTGGCATTATCCAAATCTCTTCATGGAGTTCTAGGCTGGGATGACCAGCTGCTTGCCTGTTATTTCTAGATCTTACCTCACAAGGACCTCAAAACATTCTAAACTTGCTCCTCTCTCTCGTCTCTGTTTACCCTGAAATATATATACTACAAACCTGAGCACTGTCTTTCTTTCAAGCTCTTCCTGTATCCAGCCCATCAGCAAGGTCTACTAATTTTTACCAAGATGAAATCTCCATCTCTACTGTCACCACTCTGGTCCAAGCCATTTCTTGCCTGGACTAG